AAGGAGTCATCTCCTCCCCCGATGGTCTTGTCACTGGGCATCTGGCCATCGGGCTGGATGCCATGCTCCAGGCAGTAGAGCTCCCAGCAGGCATTGCCGATCTGGACACCAGCCTGGCCGACGTGGATGGAGATGCACTCACGCTGTGGGAAGGGAAAGAGAAAAATTATAAAAATAGTAATGTTAACATTTTTCAAATTTCAGTAAAATTTTAAAATTATCTAGAACTATACAGGCATTATTCAAATTTATTGAGTTCATATTCCTAATTGATAGAAATGATTAAGGAAAAAAGAACCTGCTAGGAATGCTGCACATGGGTGTGGCCTGCCACACTGTTCATCCCATTGTTCGCATAGCCATTAACAGATATTTCACATATTCAGAAAATTCAAAGCACAGATTTTATAAAATAAATTAAATCTAGTTATTAATTGGAATCAATATTACGGATTCCTTCTTTAAATAAAGCTGTGGGTTTCTTCTCAGTATGATTTGGTATTTCAACATGGACATCTGTACTGCAGCTGAGGTTAGAAGCCACACCCTTTTGCAGTCTCTGCAGAAGGCATTAGTAAGAGGGAGCTTAGGCGCTAACCAAGGTCTGCCCCCAGTAAGGCTGTCTTTGCTGTGCCTGGAGCTAGCCTGCACTGCCTGCTGCATTATTTAACAGAGCATGCTCTGTTTCCAGCAACTGCCTACATGATCTCATTGTGTTATTCTTCTAGTTTCCTCTTCTGACCTAGGCTGGGACCATATGCCTAAGCTGAAATGAATTAATGAAGCTGCAGTAGAACAAAAGACAGCTGGACAGAGTATCATTCTTTGTCCCCAGCAATTTTACTTTTTAATAAAAGTTTCCCCATCCCAGAAGTTTCTCCACTGCAAAAAGAATAAAATAAAATTTATTAGTCTCTTTAAAATAACAGCCTCTAAATTAGAAACAAATACCACATGAAAAACTACCAAATAAAAAGTGAAAGGATAATGAAATCCTTAAAACAGAAAATAGTATTTTCATTCTCAGATTCTCTGCCCACCACAGAATTTCATACTTATCACATTAATAGGGATTATCTCCTCTAAGGGATCCGGCTTCCGTTGTCTATTCACTGACATTGGCGGGGAGAGGGGGCTGGGTGTGTGTGTGGAGAGACTGTGTTAGGGCGTTTCCCTGGATCAGACTTTAAAGGGCTCGTCAAGTGCATTTGCTCCTCAGTAATATTTCATCTAAGTTTTAACAGTGACCGAAAAACCTTTTAACGCCTACAGTTCCGCAACGATGAAAGGCTTTTATTAAAAGTCTCCTGACTGAGCTTTAGCGAGGCGAACCCCGCCCAGTGGCTTCAAGACCGAGAAGCAAGAAACAAACAACTCCTCCCCTGCGCCGGCCTGGCGCTGCCGGGATTCGGGCAGAAACGACCCGGGTTCCACCGTCCATACACGGGCATCTTTGCAAAAAGGCAACCACTTCTTTCTTCACCCTCCACGGCCCACTTTGTCCTGGTCTTCGTCCCCACCCCTCCGCCCGACGACGCCCACCGACCCGCGGCTTCCCTGTACCGCTCCTCGCCGCCTCGCCCGGGACTACGTGGGAGAACGAGCCGCCCCGGGCGCCGCCACCCGCGCCCTCCCCGGCCGGCCGCCTCTGCACCCACTCGCGCTGGCCGCGGCGCCCGGGGCTCGGGCACAGAACACCCGCGAGCGCCGTCTTTGTTCTCCGCTCCAGGCTCTGCTGCGCCCCGGGCGCGGCGCTCCGCACCCCGCACTGCGGCACGGTGAGGCGGACAAAGCTAGCCCGCACGAACAAAGCCGCAGGCCACCCTCACCCGCAAAAGTGGTAAACTGAAAGGGCTTAAGGTTTCCCGAGTGGACGGCGGGGACGCTGGGGGCCGACCCCACCCATCGGCTGCTCACCATGGTTGCTGTTTGCGGCTACCGGGCAGATGGCGGAGAGGAAGCGGAGGGTTGTTGCTTCTTACAGCGCGACTCTTAGGCGGTCGATGTAAGAGAACCTGCGGCACCCGGGCGGATGCGGCTCCCTATATACAACCCGGTCACCATGGGGATGGGCTGCGGCCTTTTCCTGTTGGTCCAGACCCCTCAATCTGCCCAGAGAAGCCGCGACCGGAGAGTGGTGATTGGTGCACACTCCATGGGATGAGGTAATCGCTCCCCCACCCCTTTTTTCCGGAGCATCCATAGACTGCATCCCTCAGACAAAGAGATCCTGCGAAAACTGCCGAACATCCATTATGGGGTGGGGTCGGGGAGAGAAGAAAGAGAAGTGGGCTTGGGTGGTTTCATACTGCTTAAATCTCAAGCTACAGCTAAAACTACCCACGAAGGCTTTTTCCAGCACTTCATCGCAGAAAAGGGGAAGATGGAAAGTGTAATGGAAAATCTCTCCCAGGCGCTCCCCTAAAGTACGCTACATTCAACTACGCTCTGCAAAGATTCAGCAGCCCTAATTGCTATAAAAATAGGGGAAGGGTGGGAGTGATGTTTAAAACAGCTTGGGGGGGGGGGATGTGATTGTTTTTAATTTTAACAAAGTTTCTCATCCAAAATGACTTCTCAGGGCCAAATGATTTTCAGATTCTCCTTTTGCACCCCTCCCCTAAATAAACAAAGAGAACGACCCATCCTAAATGGAAGCTGGAGAGAATATACTAAACGTGGAAGCACACAAGTAACTCTAATATGGCAATAATTAAAATCTGATGAACGTACTATCGTTGGCCTACCAGAAACTTTCCTTTACTAGAAGTCTATGAAATAGCACATGAATATACTGTTCATTAAAATGAATCATCTTTCCCGATACAGAATTGAGGAAATCCAAGGAGAAAGAATTTATTTTAGTTAAACAACTTGTACTACCCCTCTCCTTATGGTACAGGACCACCTCCTTACAATTACATTTTACACTGCTCTCTTTTCTGAAGAGGGGAAAACATCAGACATCAAATTAAAAGGAGGAGAGCTGCACAATGTAAAAAGACAATTTTGTAATGTTTCCATTCTTAGGCTGTTTGCATCCTAACAGCTGTGCTGTGTGAGCACAATAAACAGTTCTTTCTTTCTTTTTACCTAGTTCTAACGTGAATAGTGAATCTGAGATTAGGTTTAAGTGTGGGAATTGTAGTCAGGCCCACACCGTTGCTATTCAGCTAGAGATTGTTGGTTGCTCTCCTGCCTCTAGGGACAAAAGGTTTTGCTTTCACCCTCAGGAAATGGATTGCAGTAACTTTCTTTTGTTACTTAGAAAGCAACCTTTATCAACAAGGATGGGCTCTACAGAATAAGACTGGGACTAGGTGCTCTCTTAGGGCTGCTAAAGAAATTTCAGAGAGAGGTGTGTGATGGCATCAAAGTAAAAAAAAAGTGACAGATTTGTGGATTCTGCAGTGCCATTTACAGTGCTCTGCAGAGCCTTCATTCCCACTGGGCTGGCAGGCAGAGCCCGGTGGGAGGGAGGAGAGCAGAAGACAGCTGCTGCAGGTTGTGGTGCGACAATGGCGGCGTGGCTTTTCCTAACTTGCATCCACAGCTCCACTTGTTCAGATTTGCTGCAGCAGTCTTTCCTAGAAAAAGTAAGACTCAAATACAAATCATTTTATTTCCTTCTTGCATATTTCATGGGAAAATTCATCTTCACCATCAACTTATCTCCATCCCTTTAGCAAATTAAAGTATGTTTCAGTAAAGAAAGAAAAGAATTAAGAATGACTTGAATGCTTCTTTCTGAAGCATTTAACAAAAATAATGCATTTTTGTTACATTTAACAAAAATAATTAAATAGCGTAGAGATGATAAGGATTAATAAATAGCTCATTCAAAATCCTTTTGACATTTTTAATAATAAATCAGCTACTACTGGATCATGGTTAAATGTATACATCATCTTTTTGGAATAAGGGGTGTAGTCTTGCATTTTATTTTCTTTACAATATAAAAGAAAGGTCATTTTCCAATAGTCTCACAATTCAATGTACTGAGGATTAAACAAAAGAAAGGAAGATTCATGCAGTTGATTCTTTGTAACTCTATCTCAGAAGTCATTCTGTTCCTTATGAGGATCTTTTCTCCCTCTTGGTATAAATAACAATAAAATCTAGGTCAGAAATAGATTATTTGAGCATTGGTAGTCTTAAATTAAACATATAATTAGGAAAGCAGGGGAAACAACCTATCATTTTTGTTCCTCATCTGTCTTAATAGCTTGTAAACCAGAAGAAGCAAAAAAAAATACTTTTGTTACTAGTTTGCATCTTATTTTACTGCCAATTTCTTTAACTTACATCAATATACATGTAACAGTATTTTAATGGATTCATCCTTGTTTACAGTAGTAATATAAAACCTCTTCTATTTTTTCATAGAAGAACTGAGGTACAGGCCGGAGGTGTATGAGGGAGGTGAGGGGATTTACCAGAGATAGAGTTGTGGGGCAGAAAAGGCAGATGTACTGAAATACACTGCTAAAGGGAGAGCTGGTGAGACAGAGAGGTCTGCTGTGCCATATGTGAGTTAGCTCCCTCCCTGATCAAACTCAGGCCTTAGAGGTGAGAGCACTGAGACTTAACCCCTAAGCCACCAAGGAGGCCCCTAAACATCTATTATAACATTCATGGAATTTAAATTATGTATTTGTGTGTCTACATGTCTCCATTAACATGTGAATCCTACTGCATGGGGAAGTGCATAGCATATAGTAGAATTAATGAAAAGCTTCTCTGCACATTTTCAGTTTACTAATTGAAAGGTATTTAAATAGTGTTCAACTTTTAAAAAATTCGGTAAGCATTAACTACATTGAACACTGGACCATCTAGTTAGTGTGGGGAGCTGAGTAGTAGCATAGTCTTTTTTCTTTAAAGTCCTCCAATGTAATTGAAGTCATGGAAAAAAGTGTGTGTGTGTGTAGTAGAATACTGTGTGTTTGTATGTTGTGGGGAGGAGTCTTGTAGAATCTATTGTAGGATCCATGTATCATGACTTAATGGGAATGAGAGAGTTGTCTCACACTTTATTCCTACTTCTTCAGCCTTCTAGATAAATCTAAATTCATTCCAGACCGGATTCTTCTTCTCCCACTCTTTGAAACAGATTCCTTCTATGTTTGTTGCTTAATCCACTGTATACTTTCTAGTGCTTGTTGAAGGGTGATAAACTTTACACAGCTAACTAGTATCTTTCTTGAAACAGTTCCTTTCCTTGACCTCAAAAACTATATTTTCTGGGTTTCCCTCCTACATTTTTGTCTCTTCTTGATATTCTGCTGTCTCTTTACCACCTCCCATTTTTGAATGTTTTCATTTCTCAAGGTTTATTTTCAGAGGTTCTCTCATTTTATTCATTCCTGGTGGATGGTAAGCATATTCATTCCAAAGGCTGCAGATCTTTGTTTTATGCTGATTACTTCTGGATTCTCTTTTTAGATCTAGCTACAACTGGTTTCTTAAATCAGAAAAGGTAATTGCTCTTGACATCTGCCTCTCCTTTTCCAGAAAGTCAATTGCTAAATCCTGTCAAGTCAAAATACTGGCAA